CTCTCTCTCTCTCTCTCTCTCTCTCTCTCTCTTACTCTTTTCCACCTCTCTCTTTCTCTTTCCCTCTTTTTGTACCACAGGCTGTGTAAAGTTCAGCTGTTGGTCGGAGAGAGTGACCTTCAAACCAGGTGGCAGGAGGACGCGTTTTCTGAGTACGCCCTGCTTGGCTCTTTGTGTGTAACGCTTTTTCTTTTGTCTCTTTCCTACAATGTCATGTGATTAGTTCTTGATTCTGCCAAGCCTTCTGATTGGCTGATCATCTCAGACATTGTGTCATGAATCTTAAAAACAACTTCTCATCGCTTAACAGTTATCGTTCATATCCCGTAATGCACTAGTGTAACCTATGAGGTCCCATAATTATTTCTAATTCAACTGTGTTCACAGTGGGCACTTTGTCATTTGTAATTCATTTTACTAGTTTTAATATTTTCCTTCATATATGCTTTGGTTTAACATCATAACAAAATGTGCAAATTGCTAAAGATAATTACTAATAATTTTAAAGAGGAATAACATGCTGCATTTGACAGTGTACGAAAACAGTACTGCATGTACTTTAGCAGTTCCCAAGTAGTTTAAGCAATTTATACTGAAAGCGGGAAAATACACTTCAATTTAAAAAAAAAAAATCACAGCTGGATGCCATAAACAACTTTGTCCAATTGTTGTAATTATAGCTAATAATTTAAATGTGCAGTATCCATATACTGGTAACACTTCACAATAAAGTTGTAAATGTTATCATTATTAATAATAAAAAGGTATCATGAACTAATAATGAACATAATTTATTAATGTAGGTAAATATTAATTTCTACATATGCTAAATAATTTCAAGGTGTATAAATCAGTAAAGTTAATATACTATGAACAAAAAATTAATTAACATGATAAGCCTAGATTAAGGGCCTAATAAACCTAGATTAATAAATTGTGTATAGTAGTTTATTGTTAGTGTTATTTTAGTATGATTGACATACTGTTAAAATACGTATTCATATTTTGAATTAGTTTTTTTTATTTGTTTTAATAATTGTATGTACTTGTCACTTTCGTTTATTTTTAACATATTTAACATTTAATGTACAGTTATAATATATAATATATTTTAATATTGTGGTATATAATTATATTTTATATTTATTTTATATTTCTATTTTAGTTATTTTATATACTATTATAATTTTTTTCTTTATCTTACTACTTCAACTTCAGTTAATTGCCAAGGCATTTCTAATTTCTGTTTGTTTTTTAAGTGTAATATTTTTATATCTCATTTAAGTTTTATATTTTATTTTAACTTTTTTATAATAAGATTGTTAGTTCATGATACCTACTGTAATGCAAATACTAACGGTACTTTATTGTAATGATATGTTGATATAATATAATGATATGGCTCATGTTCTTCAGTATTGTTTGGCTCTTCCTTTTCTGACACATGCAGTGTGAATCTGCAGCTTACTATTCTCATTTCCTCATATTATGTATGTAATAATTCACACACATTTTTATAATTAAATCTCTTGAAAGGAGTGAACTGAACAGCTGAAACGGAGACAAATATTTCTCCAAACTAGGCAAGTCAGTGCATATATCTTACAATCTGATGAATTTTCCTTAGTCTCTTTTCTTTCTTTTATTTAAAAAAAAAAAAGATTTCAAGTCCCTCAGAGCAGGTACTTTCACACATCCTCTCACATCAGCACTTTCTTTCTTTGCAAGCTTATCTTTTTTTAGCTGCCCTCACAATGTTAATGCACCTGATCACAGACCCGACACGCGTGAACCTTCCTTCGCTCACCCCACCTTCACTGAGCATGAGCGTAACAGCCATCAGGGCTTGATTTCAGGTTTTAGACTAGCACTCCCATAATGCACTGTGTTGGACGTGGAGTTACTGTAACACTGATTCTCTCCAATCCCACCGTTCTCTCCATGCTTCAGGGAAGATGGTGAAAAAAGTGTGCCCCTGCAACCAACTCTGTAGTAATTATTTCTCTTTTTTACATCCTCCCACTCCTCCTTCCCTCTCTTTCCTGACGTCACCTTTCGCTTCATGTCCTGTGGTCTGTTGAAGCTGGTATGCCCGCTAAGCTCTCAGGCTGACTTGAGCATTTCTTTCCTGTGATGACCCATTCATGTGTTTATAAGTGTGGCATGCCACGTGTGTTTCACTCTCAAGTTAAACTCGCACTGCCCTAAATTTGAAACCGAATTGGAAATCACTCTCGATAAACGCCTCGCCAGGCGACGACGCCACACTCAGCAGCAGACTGACTAATGCACTCTAAATGGACCCGTCTGAGCACTCATCCCATTACGCACAAGACAATTTGAAGCCCCAGACTCCCTTCTGCACTCTTCCTTTATCCCCTTAAGACTCATCCTGCTTACTGCACATCGACCTCATCCTGTTTGGATGGAGTTTCTCACCCATTACAAGGGTCTAATGAGGCCTGGCTGATCTCCCCCTCACTGTGCACAAGACTTAATCACTATCCAGTGCACAAACAAACGTATTGAGGGAATACAGCTCACATTTTTCACACAGAAAGGTAGGTTTTCACAAAGAGGATTCCGGGATCCTCCAGTATTGAACAAAGTGAATGGAAGTCATCCAGTAAATGCTGAAGTCAAGCTGTGTGTGGATCCTCCACCTCTCCCTTACCTCTTTTCCACCAGGTGGTGCTGGTGCTTGGCTAATGAAACTTTTTTTTATTATTCATTTTAATGATATACAATATTTTATGTGGATGCATGTATTTGATCAGAAATGCAGTATTCTTGTGAAACATCATTACACTTTAAAATAACTGTTTTCTAATTTAATATATTTTGAAATGTAATTTATTCCTGTGATCAAAGCTGAATTTTCAGCATCATTACTCCAGTCTTCAGTGTCACATGATCCTTCAGAAATCATTCTGATATAATTTGCTGTTCAAGAAACATTTCTTCTTAGCAATGTTGAAAACAGTTGTGCTGCTTAATATTTTTGTGGAAACCCTGATATTTTTTTCAGGATTATTTGATAAATAGATGATTTGATGAATTGTTCAAAAGAATGTGATTCATTTGAATTACTGTAGAAATGTTTTGTAACATTATAAAAGTATGTACCATCTCTTTTGTGTCAAATAAAATATTAATTTATTTAAAAAAAGATAAATAAATAAAATAAATGTGAAAATATTAAGTGTAATCAATCATGTCCTGACACTTTATTTTTAGATGTCTAATTAAATGTAAATTAATGTTTAATTAATAAAATTTAACTTAAATTCAGTATATTAAATACTACCATGATGCATAAATTCTTTACAATTTAAATTAATATATAAATTAATATAATTCAAAATACTTTTTTTACACATTATAATATTGACTGAGATTTTTTGCATTACAGTACAAAAAAATTGAGGAAGAGTTTGCTTAATTTTAATTAAAATAATGCCACAATGCAAAAAAAAAGAATTGTTCTGTTGTAAAAATAGAATTGTTTGTGTAAAATAGAAATCTATTAATATATCTATTTAATTATAAATATTTTTATTTCTAAACTGACCATGTACTGACCACAAACTGTACAGTTGTTTTTAAAAATTTATTCAGTCATTTTTTTAGGGCCAGTATAAACCACTTTTCCTTCAGTGGAAATGTATGAAACCGGGCCAAATTGGGTACTGGCTTTGGCACCAGCATGGTGGAAAAGGAGTAGCTATATTTCAAAGCATGGCTTGCTCTGGACTACATCACCCAGAATTCCTTTTGGTGCCTCAGTCTTGGCGCAATGTGTCGTCTTTTTGTTGCTGCATTCTGGATGGGCTGTGTTTGCCGTCCTAACAGGTCTTATCTGTGTCACCGGGTGGCTGCCTGGATAGTTGGCAAGATATTTGTGCTGTTTGTATGTAACTGTGCAAAATTTGATTTAGAAAATTTTTTTCCCCCATCAGCTTTGTTTGATTTACAATCTATTCTTCAAATGCATCAGCTCTTTGTTCCTCGACAGATATGTGTAGATAAATGGACCAATCAGCTTATACCAGTGCATGTTTAAAGACCGTTATTTCTTAGTCATGACAGTGATGAGTCTTATGAAGGAGCTGAGGCATTTCCACTCATTTTGTGAATTTGTCATCTTGCTTCACATTAACTGCTCAGTAAACGGAGCTTTTTTGTAAAAAAAAATTACCACATAATCACTGCAATGCTTTGTTTTTCATAAAGAGGCTTATTTACTCATACTGCTAATATTAAAGGGGTCATATGACGTTGCTAAAAAAGAACATTATTTTGTGTATTTGGTGTAAGGAAATGTGTTTATGTGGTTTAAGGTTAAAAAAACACATTATTTTCCACATACTGTACATTATTTTTTCTCCTCTATACCCCTCCTTTCTAAAACGTGTTGATTTTTACAAAGCTTATCGGTCTGAAAAGTGAGGTGTGGTCTGATTGGCCAGCTTTCCAGTGCGTTGTGATTGGCTGAATACCTCAAGCATGTGACGGAAATGTTACGCCCCTACGTGATGTCATGTCCCGGTGCGACGAGACAAAACCAATAAAACCCATTACAAACGAGGCATTTGTAGCATCTAGTGGGGACATAATTACTGATTAATTGTAATAACAATTGTAATAACATGTCTGCATTTGTGATCGGAGAAACAACAAACAACAAGCGCTACTCTACACTGCTCAAAACTCGCGTTTGAATCGTCAGTGGCAAATTCTTTAAATATGAAAATGTACTTACAGGCTGTGAGTCAGCATTATTTGTCAGCATCATAGACTGTGGTCAGCATGCGTGCCGAAGGGGAAACAGGAGAACTGAATTCACCGGAACACCGGCATTGTAGGCTACTCTCCCAGGAAACAGTCCTCATCCTCCGTAAAATGCGCTGCACACATCTGAATATTTGGTTTCAACTGTTCTAGAACAGTGTTGTAAACACAACTTAACCACTGATTTCTAGTTGTGTCCTCTTTTGGAAGACCAGACTTAGTAGTTTCGCTTTCACAACAAAACACAGCATCTACACGACATGGCGGCGGCGGCAACAATACAACAGCGAGAATCAAAGTTACGCCTTCTTTCTTTGCTTTTTGGGCAGTGTTATGCAAATCTTTCCACACAGTGACGTAGACATGTGGGGGCGTGTTTAAACGAGGTGTTTTAGGAGGGCGTGGACGAGTCTTAACTTTTATAAAGAATACCTCTTTGGGCTTGAGACTTTAGTCTTTGCAACTTTAGGGATCGTATCTATTCACGAATAGCTTGTAACACTCCAAAGAGAAAGGAAAATTTTAAATTGCATCATATGACCCCTTTAATGTGTTAACAAGATTGACCGTTTTTTGTCCTAGTTTAGCTAATGGTACTAATCAACTCTTATTACGCTTCTGAATAGTAGCTGTTGAAAATTTCAAATTGTTAGCCTCCATGAATTTTGAGACATTGCAGTTCAGTTTAATCTAATCCTGGAGCTCATGGTGAATCATTTCACCACCCTTTTGCTCCCTCTTGTGTTGCAATAAAAACAACCATGGCGAGCATGATAATGAAGCCCAGGCAGATGCGAAGCACTTGGTTTATGCACCGATGGAAAGCCAGAGATGGTGTTTTAATTCTGTCTTCGTGACCTGTTTTGCAGGCTGGAGTCAGAGTGATAAAAGTGTCACTTTAGCCTCAGAGCGGATGCCCAGGTGCTCGATAGGGCCTCACTGCCATGACTTTTTGTATACACATGACATTATATTATACAGTTGTGCTCTTAAGTTTACATACCCTTTATATAATCTGCAATATGTTTTGCTTTTATTTTAATTAGAAGAGATTAAATTAAAAAATATATATATATTTTTTTTAATCAGTGTTGTCCTGAAGAACCTGCATAACAGATATTGTATTATAATCATGTCAAAATAACAGCTTAAATTGAATAATTGTTAGCATTTTCAAACCCTTTAGTTCTCAATATATTGCACTATGCTCTTTATTTTAAATGTCTTGCTTTTACTGACTGCAGCTCTATTTATTTTAATCAGGCTTTTATTGGTTTAACTAAAGATTTCTTTATTTCCAGGTTAAAATGTAATTTTGAGTGCAGCATTTTAAATATCATGCTTTTGATTCTCACATGTCAAGTAAAATCTGTTATGTCTAAAAATCATTAGAATCAGGTCAAACCAGGGCAGAACTAAATAAAAAATATATAATCATAAATTTAAAAACTCGCTTTTTTTAAATCAAACATTTTGCAGTTTATATAAGGCTTATGTAATCTAATGTGAGGAACTGTATATAAATATATACACATAAATATAGTATGTGGGGCTTCAGATTGTATCAGCTGTTTTAGTATGATGCATGTTGGACTGACTTCCTTTTTACGATCATATTCTTTCTTCCTGTCTTTTTCTCCACTCAGGGACAAGCAGCACCAACACGGTGGCGGGAACCGTTCAGAATCAAAACCAGCCGCCCGTCTCTCAGTCCCAGAGCTGCAAGGGCATGTTCACAGACGAGCTGCACAAATTGGTGGACAACTGGGCCAGGGACGCTATGAACCTGTCGCAGGGCAAGAGAGGCTCCAAGCACCAACAACAAGTGGCTCCTCAGGGCCACAGCTACGAAGTAAGACTTTGTCCTTCACAGTTCTCAACTTCTACGCCCTCAAAGTCCACTTTCCTGCAGATTTTAGCTCCAATCCTAATCAAACACATCTGAACAAGATAATCAAGGTCTTCTAGAAAGTTACAGGCAGGTGATTTTGATCAAGGTTGGAGCTAAAGAAAAGCTCTACAGAAAAGTGGACCTCGAGGGCCAGAGTTGAGAATCCGTACTCTAAATAAACGTTTTTCCTTTCTTCTCTTCTCAGATGGTTCCTCCTACCAATATGGGCCGCAAGTACTCTGCTCCTGGCCAGCTGTGCCCAAGCATCGCTTCAACTCTGAGCGGCCACCTGCCCATGCCCAACACTCCCGCTACCTCTCTGGGGGCCCGGAAGGGCTCCTTGTGTCCCACACCGCAGTATGGCTACCCCTCTGCACCTTACAGCGCCCAGTGGGCTGGTTCGGTCGCGCACACCCAGGCCGGTCTGCTGGCCACCTCGCAACCCCTGGGACAGTATCCCCAGGTTCCCACCCCTTTACAGACCTTCCACATCAGCACTTTGCAAAAGTCAGTCAGCCACCCAGGTGGACCCAACCTGAAGACCACGTAGGGCAGGGCCTAGCCGTGCCAGGCCTAAATAACTCTCGAGTTGGGGGAAGGAAGGGGGGCAGATTGGGCAAGCGTTTGTTTGCGTTGCGGAGATTCTGTCACAAGAGTTGATTGTTGAGGAAGAAGATGCCAGAATCTGCATGCATGCTCACAGATACGCCACGGGGATGATGCACAACGATGCACAACGATGCAAGGGATTAGAGAAGATGAAAATAAAACAACAGACACTTGTGTGCAATGTTACGTGGCCAAAGAAGGTGTGATCATTCTTACTGTTAAGGTGTGTAGTGATGGCATCCTTCACCACCCAACCCCAAACATTTGTCAAGGGGTTCGATTAGAGGTTTGCTGACCTAAAATGGAATGAATGCCACCGGCATCCATCCGTATATCCTCCTGATAAATTCATACATCAAACATGTCAACAAAAACGGAGGTCGGGTGGGTGACGGTGAGCACTGAGCAGCGAAGAGACGAACCTAGTTCCCCTCTTGCCCTAAACCCTTTGCTGCAATGCCATGGAACAATGCAATAATTACAATGGTTAAAAAAAAGCCCATTTTAAAGCACAGGAAGTGGCCTTCATTAGATAAAAGGACAAAATCCATGTACAGATTTCCTTTGTTTTTAAATTGGGTAATGAGGGTTTGATTTCATTCATTTGGTTGGTTGGTTTTTCTTCCCTATGCCCTTCAAGCCGGCCTTGTGTAGCAGAATGTTAGGGACAGTACTTTTTTTTGTCACATGTTCAGAGGCCTTTCAACTGCCTGTACTACAAAGCTCCTACATGCATCCCAGCATGCACATTCACACTCTTACCGTCCTCTTCCGGTTTTCTCGTTGGGCCACACCACAAGGTGACCTGTAAAATGGTGGATAAAATCAGTTGGATTGGGTTTTGGATACAGGATTGGTTACCTTGGAGGCCCGTGAAGCTTTAAATCTATGGCTAATTATCAGCTTTTTCTAATCATGGCAGCATTAGGGGCCTCTTACGATAGTTTGATCGAGACATTCAAATAAGAAGTCGTGTTCTGTATGGACCTGTATTTACTCATCAGTTTTTGATGTTGAAACACTGTGATTATTATAAATGTTGTTGGACAACATTAGATAAAAAGAAAGTAGACAAAAAAAAAACATGAAATTTTGGAGGGTTTTGGATATTAGCGTTCATGAGATGTAAGGCTAGCTATTTCATCTTATTGGAGACACTTTAACCCTTTTTTCCCCTTTGTACTTTCTTTATATTATTAGATAAATGTGAATGTAAATGGATTCAATTAACGTACTTGAAGAAAATAATCTTTCCCTCTTTCCCTAAGCCCGGTGAGCTTTCTGAAGATTCTAGTGCCTTGCTTTATTTTTGTGTTACTTTTTTTGCTTCTGGGTTTGATATATAAGGCAGCGGAGAGTCTCTGGTTGGATTGTTGGACTTCACAGAGGGTGATTATTAATATATTGCAGGAACAAGGTGTTGTTTTGGATGCCGTTTTGAATTGGCTACGACTGAAACCATTTGATGGCACAGTCCTAGTTGCAAAAAGCTTCATATATAAGGTGCGCAAACACAATCCAGCCATTATATCGCATTCAAAGGCTGTGAAAGTGCTTGAGGGTTGAGTTTTAGATACTTTGATCAATCTACCTTAGTATGCAAGTGGAAGTGTGCCTATCATCAGCACATAGATGAGTCATTTAAACTTCTTTCGACAACCACGGTGTCTTTGTTTTCCAGATGGATTCTTAAACAGCGTGAACGGTTCTTGTGAAGGTGAGGGATCGGCTCAGATAGAAATGCAGGACGAGGAAAGTTAGTACGCATGGGACAGTATGTTGTAAGTATTTCAAAACCACCAATAGCTTAGATGTTTTTCCAGAACTGCTTAATTGGTTTTGACGCCATCCAGTGTCGAATCCACTCCAGGTGTGCATAGGGAGACACGTTTGACTCATTTAGCAACAGATGTGACAGCAAGTCTAGAAAAGGACCAGAAAGGTGGGAAAAGACAGTTAGCAACCCTCACCGACACAGCACTGTTAAAGAATATTTCTCGCTGGTTTCTCATCAGTCCGCTTCTTTTTAACTGTCACTGCCCATGTAAGTTCTCACATCACCGTACTGACAACGGCATTCGGTTTTATGGCAGATCAGTAGCTTCTTTCGGAGGATCGCACTCCCTCTCTTTTTGTAGCAGTCAGTCAAATCACTCTTGTAAATGCTTTGGTTTATTCAAAATACTAGACCTGCAGTGTCAAACTACCTTTTAGCACATTTGACTGTGCAGATGAATAGCAAACAGTCCTGATTCACCAGAAACAAATGTACAGATCCTTAGAGCATTTTATTTGGGGTACAAAAACATAGTGGAGATGCTCTCATCACCTTTAACTACTGAAAGGACTTAGATTACAACTCGTTACATACTGCTTAGTGTGCCGTCTGCGTGAAACGTCTAGTACAGGAACTTCACTTTAGGTCAACTGTACAGTTTAGATTCTCAACTGGCTCTCTATATTCAGAATCTGATCGTTTTACCTTTATCTCTTGCTTTGTACACAACGCTTTACCTGTAGACAGCACGTTTTTACCCACTTTACGTCGCTCGGTTTGTTCAAACTGTGAACACATCAAAAGGTCTTTAACAAAGAGGTCCAACCTGCTCAGTGTTCAGACTAATGAAATAGTACCTTCTGAGTGCCATGCCCCTGTTCCAGATATGACGCAAGTGTTCATTTGCTCTAGCTATAAGAAACAGGTCCCCCTGTTTGACTGTAGAGGGTGCTAATGTAACTGCAGTGCAGGACTACAACATTAAACGAGATTCACCTCTGACCTCTGATGTAAATGATACAGCACCTTGGAAAATAAAAAAAAATGTCCTTTTTCTTTGCTTTGAAAAAAAAAATAGTTTGTAGCGTGCTGATGTACGAACGAGCCATTCAGTATCGCTAGACATTCAGTTTATGATGAAAAAAAAAACAATAAAATGTATTTTTTCTTTCTTTTTGCATGAGACTTCAGTTACACAGAAAAAATGCACACAAACCTACTCAAAACTATCTTATTGAATGAATCCCTCCTTACTAGTCGCTCTCCTGTGGAAAGAAATACAACAGAACAATGTTTACTTAATGCTACTGACCTGTCATTAAGTTATTTTGTTTTGTACTGCTATCTGATCCGCTTGTTTTGCTGTCTTTTGAGTCTCTAGATTTCCTCTGGTGACTTTCATTCAGTGTTTTTTTTTTCTCCGTATGATATTATACAAAATGTTAAAAGAGTTACTTAAAATGAAAACCAAACAAAAACATGTAGGGAATCATCGGCAATGTTTAACTGTATGTTTTGCACTAAGTATAGGATGTTCTAGCTTCATATAAAACTGCGCTTTGCGCTCCAATAAAACAGCATTTGTTACCCTATTTGTAAACTTAATAAAAGTCATTTAAATAAATTAAGCTTGCCTCTGCTTCTCAATTCTCAATGGATGCTGGATTCCTTATAATGCAGTTCAGAGCAATAGAGCTGATGAGATTTAATGATACTAAAGTGCATTTAACTAAATCTTCATCTGGTTGTGATCCTATTTGAAAGTGAGTGACACGCACTCTGTCCTTCCACGTGTGCATGTGCACTCTGCCCTGTCCTCCTAAATGTGTACGTGCATTATGTGTCTTGACTGTTCTTCATACTAGTGACATATTGGATTCTGAGTCAGACCAGCAATGAGTCAATTTGAGTTCATATGGAACATCTTTTTGACATGCATTCAGATTGTCACAAACAAACCCACATGGCCAAGTAAATATTTATTATTGACATGTAAACAGGCCAACACAGAAACTTACCACAGATATGCATGACATTTCACCCTCGATCATGTACTAGAAGATGCTACTGGCTTTATAAAGGGGTGAGGATCACAAAGCATTCATACGGAATCTAATACAAGCGAGGTAAGGCATCTTTAACACTCAGATTCTTGATACTTTTAAGACAATATTACTTTTACGTTTCAATATTTATGTTTTGCATCTTTATAACTGAACATGCATTCTTTCTGACAGCCATGGCAGTGTTTGATCATCTTGGGCTGGTGTCTCTGGCTGTGTTGATGCTGGCGTCTCATCTGCTGCTGTTCGGGTGTTTGGCTTACACACCAGGGACCTCACCTGCTGGAAACGATCCTGATCCATACCTCAAGGTCTGGTGTGGCACTACTTTTGGAGGGATGACAGAATTTCACAGGGATAGTGCTAATCCTTCATGGTCAGCAGAGTTCAACTTCCCATATTGCGAACCAAAGGATGCACTGAAATTTCAGGTGTGGGACAAAGACCTGAATTTTGATGATCACTTGGGCACGTGTGTAGCACAGGTGCGATAAGGGTCTTCCACCGGTACTTGTGATCTGAAAGATGGATCCCTGTTTTACAGGTTTGAAGTTGCCAGCTATTTGTAAAGCTGCTTTACAGGTTTGTTCCACAGATTCCAGCATTTCGTAAAACAAACCTCCACTGTAACAAGCCTGATATAATAAAGTTGAATAGTATTGAATGTTTTGCAATGATACATGTTCATCAAAATCTTACTTCAGTGAAATGCTTTAATAGTCTATTCATTAACAAAAGATGCTTATAAATCAGGGTTGTATCTGTTTTTCACTTCATGGTGGGAATAAAGTTTATCAGGCTGTTCAGAGTAAAGAATAAAAAATAAATGATTTGACTTTTCTGACTTTTTTCTCCAATTACATTATCTTACATTTTGGACTTTATAAATTGCAATTGTGTATTTATATCTAACAATTCAGACTTTTTTTTTCTTTTAGAATTGCAGGTTTATATCTGCCCATGGTAATAATATTTTTTTTAGAGAACTGATTAAACTGGGTTTTGATACTTACATTATGTAAGTATTATTACATTATTCGTGCCCACCTTCAGTGTGTCATATACAGTATGTTCTTTAATCATTTGTCCATCTGTTCATAGTCAACCTGCATCTGATGTGGAAAGAGAATACTCTAATCAAATAGTTTTGTGTGAAATGGTGCATGATAACATTGATGTGAATTACTTGAGTGTAAAGGTGTAGGTTTGGAGGTCCCTAAATCTTCATTCATTCCTTGTTACTATGACAAAAGTGTAATGACCACCTGTTCTTTCACATGTGTATGTGAACTACGTGTCTTGTTCTTGAGCAAGACTCTCTGCTTCATATTGGTGACATTGGATTCCGAACCAGACCAGCAACTAATGAAATGAGGCTGTTGTTGTTGCTCCCTAGTGAAAAATAAATGTATTAAAAATGCATTTGTTTTGTGCCAAGTATACTACAAATGCATTTACATATTTATGTTCTTAATAAAAATACCCTGCAATTGTACTTTTAGTATACTAAACTGGTATATACTTTAAGTCTGCTAAATTGGAAAAAAAACTAATTTTGTGCTTAATGCACTTTAATTGTGCGGAAGTAGTGCTGAAATCCAACTAAAGATATACTGAAGTATATTTGATTGTGCTAAAGTATAGAACTATTGCAAGTGGTACACTTTAAATATCTTGCATTTAAAAACAGATATTATTTAAAGATCATACAATCCTCGTCAGTAGTTATATTAAAACACATTGTAGGCTTAATATTAAGAAATGTGCATTGTGCACAAGAAGTACTCCAAATAAAGTTTAATAATAGTTTTCATATCAGTAAATCTCGAGCAACATGTCAGTAAATAGGTTTATAGATTTGAATTATACCTAGTATGAAATATATATATATATATTTATATGATTTTTTTGAATGCAGTTTTGCACACTATTGGCAAATGTACAGTAAATAGGCCACTGTGTTTCATAATAATAGTTAACACAGATAAGCATGGGATTTAACCACCTGTTGATCAGATTTGATCAAGTATATTTGATTGTGCTAAAGTGCAACTATTGCAAGTGGTACACTTTAAATATCTTGCATTTAAAAACAGATATTATTTAAAGATCATACAATCTTCGTCAGTAGTTATATTAAAACACATTGTAGGCTTAATATTAAGAAATGTGCATTGTGCACAAGAAGTACTCCAAATAAAGTTTAATAATAGTTTTCATATCAGTAAATCTCGAGCAACATGTCAGTAAATTGAGAAACAAGAGACACAACTGATCACCTCCATGCCACGCCGAATTGGGGCAGTAATTAAAGCAAAAGGAGCCCCTGCCAAGTATTGAGTACATGTACAGTAAATTAACATACTTTCCAGAAGGCCAACAATTCACTAGAAATGTTTTTTTTATTGGTCTTATGAAGTGTTCTAATTTGTTGAGATAGTGAATTGGTGGGTTTTTGTTAAATGTGAGCCAAAATCATCACAATTAAAAGAACCAAAGACTTAAACTACTTCAGTCTGTGTGCATTGAATTTATTTAATACACGAGTTTCACAATTTGAGTTGAATTACTAAAATAAATGAACTTTTCCACGACATTCTAATTTATTGAGATGCACCTGTATATATATAGTATATTACTTTATAGGGTCAGGACAGTAAATTGTTAAAATGCTTTTATTGCAGTGGTTCTATGATTTCAGTTTTGCACACTATTGGCAAATGTACAGTAAATAGGCCACTGTGTTTCATAATAATAGTTAACACAGATAAGCATGGGATTTAACCACCTGTTGATCAGATTTTTAAGGTTGAATTGGCTTTATAAAGGGGATGAGGATCAGGAAGCATTCATATGGACTCTAATACAAGTGAGGTAAGGTGTCTTTAACACTTAATCATTTACACATTTAATATTTGTTTGTTGCATTTTCATAAATGAACATGCATTCTTTGTGAAAGCTATGGCAGTCTTTTATCATCTTCGGCTGGTGTCTCTGGCTGTGTTGATGCTGGTGTCTCAGCTGGACTTTGCCAGTGCTACTGTTCGGGTGTTTGGCTTACACGCCAGGGACCTCACCGGTGACGCTGCTGGAAACAAACCTGATCCATACCTCAAGGTCTGGTGTGGCTCTGTTTTTGGGGGCCAAACAGAATATCGCAAGGATACTGCTCATCCTACATGGTCTGCAGAGTTCAACTTCCCAAATTGCAAAGCGTTTCATAATAATAGTTAACACAGATAAGCATGGGATTTAACCACCTGTTGATCAGATTTTTAAGGTTGAATTGGCTTTATAAAGGGGATGAGGATCAGGAAGCATTCATATGGACTCTAATACAAGTGAGGTAAGGTGTCTTTAACACTTAATCATTTACACATTTAATATTTGTTTGTTGCATTTTCATAAATGAACATGCATTCTTTGTGAAAGCTATGGCAGTCTTTTATCATCTTCGGCTGGTGTCTCTGGCTGTGTTGATGCTGGTGTCTCAGCTGGACTTTGCCAGTGCTACTGTTCGGGTGTTTGGCTTACACGCCAGGGACCTCACCGGTGACGCTGCTGGAAACAAACCTGATCCATACCTCAAGGTCTGGTGTGGCTCTGTTTTTGGGGGCCAAACAGAATATCGCAAGGATACTGCTCATCCTACATGGTCTGCAGAGTTCAACTTCCCAAATTGCAAAGCAAATGAAACCTTGAAGCTGGAGGTGTGGGACAAAGACCTTAATTTTGATGATCGCTTGGGCACGTGTACCAAACAGGTGCAATATGGGTCTTTCACTGTTACTTGTTATCTGAACAAAGGAACCGTGTTTTACAGGTACGAGTTGTTACAATAAATCTGTTCCAATCCAGCACTTTGTGATGACAAACCTCTACTGTGACTAGCCTGATAGTAATAAAGTTGACAATATACATTGAACATTCACACTGAATGTTTATTATGTTTTTGTTTCATTACATGGTGGAATTAAGTTTCATATATTAATACTTGAGACTTCAGTTGAGGTTAGTTGATTCACAATTACCTCTTGTTCTCATATGAATGTGCCATATTAGCCCTGCTTCTCATTTTCCTGCTCACAGATTATCGTAAACATGAGTGTTTTGCACCAGTTTTTGTGTTAAAGAAAGGGTAGTGTACATCAAATGTAAACGTAGTAAATGGGAAGTTAGCTTATAGAAGGTCTCTTGCTTCTAGATGGGGAAATAAATAAAAAAAAACAATGTTCTTCCATAAAATACCAAAGTTGTCATCATTTATCGCTTCTTTTTTTTCTTCAATTAATCTTTTATCCGTTTCACACAACTGATTTAAATGATCCGTTCTGCAACATTTAACAGCTCTCATGATATTAAGATTCTCAGTGAATATAATATATGACCTTAATATATAATATTAAAGCTGTGTGTGTGTGTGTGTGGTATGATCTTGTGATATGTGAAGATCTCCTTCAGTAGTTTCTCTTTTGAAGCAGAGATCTGATCGCAAGAAGCCTGACAGCACAAACTAATCCTGTCATTCTACAAATATGATTGTCATTTTTATACACACCCAAACATAAAAGGACACATGCAATTAAAAACAGAAAGTAATTTGCTACACAAGTTATCATCACGGAAAGTTATCATAAGCCGTAGTGACATATTAACAAATAGGCCTAATGTACAGATAAAAATATGGCAAGAATTATAGTTTATGTTTCTTCATTTATCATATTATAATGAGAAGGTCAAAGTATTTATTTTCAGATGTCAAAGATAATCAGTGTATTCATCATGCTTTCAGAAAAATCTGCAAAATGTGCACAATGTACAGTACATATATACACTGCAGAAGTATGTATAAAGTCATAGATTACATGTGTTATTCTGTAACGTACAGAGAGAGACAGATGTGTGAGGTTTCTTTTCTTTAATGAAAGTTAAATACATTAAAAAGGGAGATATGAATTGTAGTCACCAGAAGAGATCTTTCACAACACCAGGTCATGGATCTCTCATCACAAAAAGAAACCTTACAGTGGCATTCATGGGTGGGGCCATGGTTTTCAAAAAGTGGTCAGGGCTAAATTGACAAAAATGTGGTGTGGGAAATATTACTGTCCCGCTAAAATATGAGTACCTCTACACTACCAGTCAAACATTTTTGAACAGCAAAAGCAGTAATATTGTGAAATATTTTTAGTATTTAGGGATTTAGTAAACCCAATCCCTACCCCTATAACCCTATATAGGGTAACCATACGTGCCATTTTCCCAGGACTTGTCCTGGCCAAGATTTGTTTCGGCTTTGTTTTCCTGTTTTCGTGCTTGCTGAAGGTAATGATCGAAAAGTAGTTTGACCAATAACATGCAAGCATTGTACATAATGGACCAATCATGGCGTGTGAGAAGGTGGGATCTACGGTCAAAGCGATGCAATTACGCGTACATATTAGGTGTGTTCGACTTAAAAGCAGTGCGGCTCAGACCGATCAGTGTTTGACATCAAAGTACCTCGAGAGCGTTTCGAAAGCATAACCGTCTGTATGGTACTTTGATGTCATACACCGATCGGTCTGCACACGCAAACAAAGCCAAAACCTAAATATTTTAGGCAATATAGAAATCCTGGCCAGGACGCGTCCTGGGAAAATGGCACGTATGGTCACCCTAGCCCTATACCCATAATTTATTCCTAAAATCAGTGTGAAATGATAGATGATTAACAAGGATGTAGAAGCACCTAACCCTGATCATAAGCCTAAAACAGACATTTCCTGAAAAGTTATCCCTCAATTCTGATTGGTTAATTGGAATGTTGTTCCAGGATCAACAAGGATGAAATCACGGTCACCGTCACATGACCCTTCAGAAACCATTCTAATATGCTGATTTGCTGTTCAAGAAACATTTTTTTATTATTATTGTCAATATTTAAAACAGTTGAGTACATTTCTTTCAGGATTCTTTGATGAATAGAAAGTTCAGCATTTATATGGGAAAATGGCACGTATGGTCACCCTAGCCCTATACCCATAATTTATTCCTAAAATCAGTGTGAAATGATAGATGATTAACAAGGATGTAGAAGCACCTAACCCTGATCATAAGCCTAAAACAGACATTTCCTGAAAAGTTATCCCTCAATTCTGATTGGTTAATTGGAATGTTGTTCCAGGATCAACAAGGATGAAATCACGGTCACCGTCACATGACCCTTCAGAAACCATTCTAATATGCTGATTTGCTGTTCAAGAAACATTTTTTTATTATTATTGTCAATATTTAAAACAGTTGAGTACATTTCTTTCAGGATTCTTTGATGAATAGAAAGTTCAGCATTTATAT